TGTTAGCGACCGTCACGAGGAGCGACACCGTCTCGTGAAGCAGCCTTTGACCGTAAGGCGGCTGATGAAGGCAGCGCACAGAATCAATAGGAAAGACAAAACGAGAGCAAACAAGGTCGTGGCGGCGGCGAGGAAGCCACCTCGGGGCGCCGCGGAGAGGCCGGGTGCCGGGGCCCGCTCCTCACACCCGCTGCCATTTTAGACACGCGCGAGCTCGCCGCGACGCCTTGAGCTGGCGCCGCGCCAGCGCGGTCGCCACTGCCAGCACTCAGCACCACTGGTTAAGAGAACTGCTCAAGAGAGTCAGCGATGGCCTGTGCTCTGCTCCCTGGGGGCACGTACGTCAGCGTGACAGTAACTGCGGCTGGGAGCGCACGGAGGTCCCCGCCGTCTGCCTTCCCCCTGCGCGCTCGGCCACCACAGCGGCCGCCTCCGAGCGCGCCACGAGCAGGGGTGACCTGCTCCTTCCTGGCGGCTACAGCAGGAGACAGCACGAGGGGCAGGCCGGGGACACGGTGCTATGGAGCCAGGGCGGCACGCACCATGGCGAGGGGACGCGTGCGCGAGTCCCTTTGGTGGCCTTCGCCAGCGGGGAGCCAGAGCTGGGCCACGCAGAAATGGGGCCAAGTTGGTTTTACAGCAGGGCAGTTCTTAAGAAGAGAACTTGCATTTTTTTTTTCTTTGCATCACGCCTCCAAGGAAGCTAGGAACAGCTTTGGGATCCTTAATCAACAAAGAGAGGGCTTAAGGCTCACAGGCTCCACCAGGGCCCAAATTTCATTCTGATTCTTTGGATAAAGCAAAGATTCTGCCCAACTCAGTAAGTGTCTAAGAGAGCACAAGAACAAGCGATGCAGCTGCTCACAGCTTAGGCACTGTCTCAGTCAAAGTGATGCCCCAAATAACCAGACGCTGCAAAGTTCAAGAAAACTTGTCTGGAGGCACGCTGTGAAATCAATAAAAGGTGCCATTTCTGCAAACTCACCTAGTAGTTAAAAATAGACTATAAAGCCCCCATAGCGTTCTATAGCAGTTTAAAGGGAAAGAATTAGTGATGGGAAAGAACTTAATGGGTTTGATCCAGTATATTAAAACGTGCCTGAGCTCCTTTCCGTTGCAAGATATCCTATGCCAACGCCAGCCCCGACAGGATTACATTAAGTAACGATCAAAGAAGAAGAAACTTGCCACTCAAGCAGTCTTCAGTGACAGGCTCCTCCGAAGATAAATGTTTCTACGAGACTCCAGGAAAAAAATTCACATGATGCAAGTATTAAGATACTGTCCTCAAAACTTAATTATGTAATAAATCTCTTAAACCTCATCATCCTCTTACAAGAGTTTGAAAAGAAAAAAGGTAACGCTGAATCTCTCAGGAAGGGAATTACTATTAAAAGGTCATTTTTTTCTCCCTGTTCTACAATTAAAAAAAAAATCAGAGAAGAGGAACTGTCAAAAATGTATGTAGATAAAAAAATTATTAAAAAAAACTTTCTAAAAAGCTACAAGAGACTTGAATTTATCAAAACTTATATCAGACTTAAACCCCATTTGTTTTTGCTTGCTGCAAGAAAGGGAAATGTGAGACTTGCTGGCTCAGGTTTTTATTTTTTAATTGTGAAGATAAATATCTGAACCGCCAACCTGCTCAATATGCGATCCAAGAATGACATAGCAATTTAAGTCTCATAACCCACCAAAATTGCCATTAAACAGTTTTTCCTGAGAAGTGTTAGCATAAAAAGCAGCCACCTGGTTCCAGAGCAGCTTTGGTGCTTACGTACCTATTGCAGGTAGCACCTGTTATGGGTTCACCACAGCTACTGTCATGAGGCCGTTTGGAGCATTAAGATGCTTCAAAATAAAGATGATTGCACCACACTCAGGTGTTTTGGGGGGTTTTTTGTGTTTTTTTTTTTTTTTCCTTAATACAAAGGAGGAATACAGTTGCATTGTTTATTGGCCTGAGCATCAAAGTAGGAAATAGAAACGAGTAGACATTCGCTGCAGATGATAGTGCCCTGCTGCATGACCCCAGCTCCTGCCTGCACACTTACCTACCTGAGAAAGTGTGGAAGAATTCACATTTGCCAACCCTCCATTAAAACACAATACTGGCAAGCAAGCTCTTGGAAGTAAGAGGAAACCCAAAAACCAACAGCCAAACCTTTCCAAGGCAGTAAGCTCAAGCGAGATACTTGAATGAATAAAAGTAATACAGATACTGCAGGAAAGCAATGTTCTTAGGGTACCACAAAAGACAGTACAGGAACTTAAACAATAACTCCGTTACCTGACAAAGAAATCAGCCAGCTGATGCATTTTTACTTTTAAAATTACTGAATTAGAAGAGCAACAATAATTTGATTATCAGATATCCTAAAAATAAACAGTGTGCACTGGTACTTCACACTACAATATTTGAAGCTCTTCCTTTCTCAGATGTCTGTCAGTTAAAGAGCCTCCTTAACACTTAGTTCATTTCATGGCCAAGCAAAGGGATTATTACAGAATTGGCTTCAACAAGAACAAGCACGAAACTCCATGCAGGAAGCAGATGCACATCTGCATCACAACTTAACTGGTAACTTTTTTATAAAAATAAAGATTAACCTTAATCATAAATATGAATCACACAGTATTTAATATGCAGAGATTTGTTCTTAAGTAGTAGAGATTGCACAGATGATTCCCCTTAAAGCAAATACATGAAAGCCTCTACTTAATCACATAGGGAAAAATGTTCTAAGCTGGGATAAAGGGATACCGTAGTTTGATATCCAGAGTTTTGTTCCAAAAGCAGAAAACTCCCTGCGTCAGAGCGATGGTGCATTAAAAGCTGAGGTAGTGCGTGCCGAGACCTCCCCAATATCAGCGCACGGGCCCCGTTCAAGGGGGCCCAAGCCCCTTTGGGCATCTGTCAGCAGCCGCAGAGCCACCCAAAACGCTGCATTTATTCACGAGCATTAGAGCAGGGACAAAACCTGCTGGCGAGTTTGTCACCAGCTTTCCCACCCTGCCAGCAACGTTACTGCAGGAGGGGTCAAAGAGACGGTTCGTTCGGTCCCTCCTCCTTCCCCTGCCCATGCTAAGAGGCTGTGGCAATACCTGAGGTTTCAAACCCATCGGGAATCGGTGACCACGTGTGAGCAGGCTGAACCAGGTAAGAGTTAAACCCAGACACCGCGAACACACCATTCCTCTAACAAATTCATCATTTTACCAGATTACGATGGGATACAGAACAATGCATGCACCGTTGTTGTTTACTTGTCAAAAGGCAGCTGGTTATCTTGTTTTGATTTCTTAGTCATCTGTGGAGTTACAAATTACTTTTCACTGCACAAAGTGCTGCGAATATGACACTTCCCAATTAGGAGCTCACAGCCTGCAGAGAAAGGACCGGTATGGCAATTCAGAGAGCTGAGAGCCAAACAGCTTGCAGATTTTATAGCAGAAATGTGCATGTTTACTCCTTGCCACTTAGCATTCGCTCATCTAGGAAAATCTCTAGCATTGCTAATAGGGCGCTTTTTATATATTCCTGAAATAAAAACAGATTTAGAGGAACGTGCAGCTGATTTATGAAGTTTATACCACTCCCTAACAAATTATATATACTCATAAAACCGGAGCAAAAAGAGTCAGATTTGCAACGAGAAGTTTCCAAAGACAAGACATGCAGCGAACACCAGCTCAGCTGTTCCTGACACTCTCCTCCCCTCTCAACTGCTCCAAAGACCTGAAGGCTACGAATTACCAAGTGTTTATTCAGTGCTACAGCAACACCAAGGCGAGGGTGGAGGGGTAGGATGAGATAAGAGATTTTGTCGAGCAGGGATTGGAATTTAATTCCCAATGAAGCCTTACACACAGCTGCCCAAAGCTTTCGGATAAGGTATCTCATTTCGACAGTAACTAATTCAGATTACACACTAATGATAAAACCAACCCATGTGACAGTTCTTGAAATGAGATGGCAGGGGATGTTAGACTTCAAGAAGCACATTCACGCCCGGGTAGAGCAACGAGAGCCTTTCTGCTTAGAAGACAAATGCCAACAACCTCTGCTGCCAGAAATGCTAATGCTGTGGGGAGTCCAACACCAGCTCCCGTGCTCCAACAATTAACAGCATGCAAAACCCAGCAGTTTGTTCTGAAACAGAGGAAAGTTTCAAGCTTAACTGTGTGCTTCACATGTTCTGAAGTGTATTGGCTAGGAGAGGTCTTGTACCTCTCAAGGAGGTGAAGAGGACAAAATAAAGGGGAGAAATTAAATTTAGTGGGCTTTTTTTTCTGAGTATGAAGGCTACTCAAGGTTTGCACATTTTGAAGTTAACATCATGTTTTAGCCTTTGATTTTCAAGGCAAATCAAAATATCCACAGCAATTATTTAATTGAAATCATTTGCAAAAAGCACACATATACCCTGCTACTAACAGGAAGTTTACATGCAAAAAAAGTAACGGCAAAGAGAAATCTTCATAAAAGCACAGCAGCCTTAAAACCACAGCTCTACATGCCTCGGAACAGTAGAGGCTGTGGAGTGTGTGATCTTATTTAAAAGCAGCAAATGAGTTGCCGTTACTCTTCTCAATGCTTGAATTAACATCCTGCTATTTTAAGCATGTGAACGTGAGGTATCAAGACAGTTTTAATACTGTCCTGAACCGAATCGGTGACCGACCCCCTTTCAACACAGCCTAAACGTACTAAAGGGGGGAGGGAGGAATCTACCACATCTTACTAAGATAATTTCAGTTTAAACTGTGTCAAAAACACTCAGCAAGAATGAAAATTTCTCTGACCAGCAAACACAGAAGTTCATGGCTGCGATGCTCGACTGCAAACCAGAAGTCAAACAGCTCTTTTCTAGCCGGGCGCTGGCTTCACCAGCACCGAGGGCCTCAACCCCGACACCCTGCTGCTCCCCACGGGGCGCCGACGGGTACAAACCCAACGAGCGACGCGCCGGGACGCCGCGAGCGCGGGCGCTCACCGAGTGGTAGCTGCTGGCGTCCACGTTGTCCGTGATGGTCTGTCGTTCCCCCCGCTGGTTGATCTTGCGGAACCTGCGGCGGGACTGCCTGGCGGGGACCTCCCTCTGCAGGATGCTCTCCTCATTCTCCTTGGAGTTCTCCACCTGAAACACACGGTCGGGCTCCTGGTTAAACATCCAGTTCTTCCATAGCGCGGAGAGCCGGTGGAGCCGTAGGAAGCTCATGGGGAAGGAGCTAACATAAGTTCAGAGCAGCTGAGCTCTGCTTGAGAAACGGGCTACCGCAGCGCCAGAAAACCAGCGCTGCATGTCTCAGACGGTGTTATTACAATGAGCTGGAGGCCACAGTTTCCTTCCAGGAAATGGGGCTTTTTTTAAAAAAAAAAAAGAAAGAAAAAAAAAAGAAAAAAGCGCACGTATCCTCTGAACAATGTCACTGTGTCACCGAGCAGCAGAAACCCGGCTGCACCCACGCTGACTGCTGAACAAGAGATGTACGCGCTGCTCCTTTCAACAATATCTTCAACACACCAAAAAAAATCCATTTGTTTCAACACTTACCATGTGCTAAAGCCTCTGAATTACGTTGAAACTTTTTTTTTTTTAATATAGAATCCTTGTACCAGTCACAACCAAACAACTTTAAACATCCTACGTATTGACAGATACCCCTCAGTCCTACTTCACCTATGCCGTACTTGCTTCCAATCACTTCCAAGAGACGATCAGGAAGTGACTGGAATTTGGTTCATGTGTTGATGTTCACAACAAAACATTAAAAGTGATGTAGATTCATCTTGTTAGTAAAAGTCAACATGAAACAATTATCTGACTAGTTCCAATTCCTTTTTTTCTATAAAAAGCTGTCCCATCCTTCCACATTTCCTTCTGATGTGTTGGAAAAATACATCCTAGCAGGAAACAGAGCAGACGTGCATACAAGTATGCTGCAGCCAGGCAAGAAGCTTCTCTGCAATATATTTACAGACTGGACTTTCTACCATTTTAAGTGATTTTATTTTTCATTTCAGTTGAAAAAAACATAAATATTGGAGATCAGGATTGAAACAGGGAAAGAACCTCTGTTCTGTATTGTCTTATGCAGCCTTCAGCTAAGATACTTGAGTAAATTAGCTCCAAACTAAAATTTGAAAGGCACAAAAGCATGAAAAGCAAAGAATTAACAGGGAGTAACAAGCCCAGTGGCAAATACCTAAACCATTCACAGAAGCAACAGTCATACTGCTCTCTGCACTGACCTTCCCAAAGAGAGAAACTTATCTAAGGTTGGAGGAAGAGAAAGAGCTTGCTTGGTTATTTTTAAGTCTAGAGAGAACTGTCCATCCTGACAACACAGCTTAAAAAATACACTGCTTAGAACAGCTAATTTCACATCACAGCTTTGTCAAAAGGAAAGCAGCAGAGCCACGTCACACTAGCGAGCAAGAACCACACTGCACTTGAATTTGTTACGTTTGCAAAGGCCTAGGACAGCAGCAACCACCGAGGAGCAGTGGCACAGCAAGCACCACGGCATAAGCATGTCGGTAATGCATGACGGGAGGGGGACAAAACAATTTTAAAATAGGCCATTTAGTATCATAGCAGTAATCGGACTTTGGGCACTGAACTCTTTCTTCTCTTAACAAAATGCAGATTAGTTAGCAATAATAGCGCTCTTGAATTATGCAGAACACTTCTCAAGTAGTTAAGCTGGGTTTCTTAGGGTTACTCAAATAGCAGAATTTGTGGCGATTTCCTTTTTAATTTTTGTATGTGTGTGCTGCAGAAAATGCATTACTTCCTTTTTTTTTCTTTGTGTCCCATCTTAGAGGATCACAGAAACTAAAACCAGTGCTGAGCTCCTGCAGCAGAACAAGCTAAACTGGAAACCAAAGGCTCTCTGAAACGGCAAGACATTTGCTATTTTAATACCAAAGATCCTCGTGTTTAAGACTCCAGTAAAGCAAACACTTACTGAATGATTAAGCTATTTCTCTTCTACAATTTTAGCTAAAAACTAAGAAGCAAACAGAAATATATTATCTGTTAGCAGAAAGGCAAAACAGCCAACTGCTAGTGGAAACTAAGAAGCTGGGACCACCTGCTTCCTTCAGTTAGTACCACTGCTGTACAAGTGAATAGAAAGAAAGCAGCAACATGCACAGAGAAAAGGAAAGACCTTCACCCTGTGCAATTTGCAACGTACTATTAAAACATGTAACACTAGCATTACCTCCTACTCAATCAACTGCAGCAGCAGCCAGAACTGCAGAGGTCTCAAACTCCACGCTTGTCCCGTGTTACATTTGCAGGTTGTTAACAAATTTGTTGAAAATGTTTAATCAGCAGTTGGAGTCCAGCCGACCCTCAAGGCACTGGAATTTGTGGCTTATACTAATGGTGCAGGTCGCGACATCCTGCTGCACTACCCAGGTCCCGTGGAACAGGGAGATGGGAAGATTATAGGCAGAGAAGAAAAAAGAAGCAAGCTAGCAGTGGTAAAGGAAAAAGGGGAAAATACGGGTAGAAGCACAGCTGGTAACCAACAGATACAGCCAAGGACCAAGAGAGCGTCCACAGGAATGGACCAGGCAGGCAAAGACAGAAGAAAAGCACAAGCAGGGCTAGGAAACTGGGCAAGCTCAAGAATGGAGGGACAGAGGAGTGGGAGGAAAACTAGGAGGCCCCAAGCTTTACTGCAAAACAACACCCTGAACTTGGGTAATTAAAGATTCTATCATATTTGGTTGGCTCAGGAAGGTCAGCCCCGAGTAAGATAACTTCAGCTCTAGAAATTAAATTTCACTCAGGTATCGATAATGCAATAGTCTATAGGATCTACAACTCAATTCTGCAATATTCTTGATGTTCGAGGGGTTTACGAGGTAAAGTTTCAGGGCTGCAGGTCTTAAAAATTAGAGCCCGGAGAACACCTACTATTTGCAAAACACAAGAAGAATATTGACATCCGAAGCTCTTCAGATGAATTGCTACCACAAGATTAGGACATGGATACTAGAGACTAAGAACAAGTGCTTGTGAGTAGCAAGAGATCAGATTACAGATTATATACATATACACATAGATTATATATATATATATATATATATAAGTTATAGAGAGATTCAGATTATAGAAAAACTAAATTTAGTAGCTGGTAAAGCAAAAATGTAATTTGGCTTTTCCCACTTAACATCTGACAGGTAGGAAAGGTAGGAAAAGCAACAACCTGCCTTTTCTTATTTGCTAACGTGCAATCCTGCATCCACTGCGCATGACAGCGATCCCAAACATATGCAGAAATGACTAAGAATCGAGCACAAACACATACCTAAACAGCAGAGGTAAAGGACAAACTTGAATGCTGACAGGCCCCAGTAACGTGGCACGTTTGGATTTGTGCCCCCTGTGCTGGTGGGGCTCCAGGGTAAAACAGAAGGGATGCTAAAATGTGGGTGCAGTATCAGGGATGCATCCTCCATCCCGAGGTGGCTCCCGGCCCTCCGTTCCTACAGGCACCTTTTTCCTGTCCCACTGAACAGCTGCCCCAACAGACCTCTCTTTCAGTAACAGAAAGCCTGGAACAACATATTAACTGGCTAGTGTCTCCTCAAGGGTGTTTTATTAATCATGAATTCTGGCAGGGGCAGAGCCCTTCTGTGCAAACAGCTTCAGCCCCAGCACAGGCTGCCGTGCAGAAATGAGGAGCATCGCAGGATTCTCCCCACTTCCCTCTGTGCTCAGTGCTAGCAGGGAAATATTTTTCATCTCCAAACATTATACTGCTTTTCTGGAATCTTCTGCTTGAGCCTATAGGAGAAAATAAAAGCAGCAAGGAAAAATAGGAGAGACTTCAGTACATTGAAATACACTGCAATTGGGGCCATTTACTTAAATGATAAACATGTCTATTAATTCAATACACTGTTCAGCCTCCAAAATAGGAGCTACGATGCCTGTTCACATACTAGCTGTTATCCTCATTAATTTAAGCCAACCACATCTTACAGCTTTCAAAATGGGTCAGTTCCCAGGAGATTCCCATTACAAAAACTGATTTACATTCTAAAAACAAAGAGAAAGAAAATGAAAATTATATATATGTATGTATATGTATAGACACACACACACGTGCAGTGAAATCACTGAACTATTGTGCACTATGTTAAAGTGGCTAAATCTTTTGCTTCAAGATAAATATTCAACATGTATTAGACCTCAATCAGCATGTTGCAAATTAAAAAGTTTATCTCCTGGGGCAGGGGGGAGCAGGAAGAAAACAGAAATTAAAGAAATTAATAAGAATTAATCAGGGAAATGAAACTCATACATTTGGTGTCAGAGCAAGTCATTAGCTTGTGACCAGACTAATGCCCTTTTCGCTCTCCATTTGAAGCCCTAAAAAGAAAAATGTCAGTAATTAACTGCTTTAGCCAAATTTACCTGTAAATATAAATTTAAAAACAATGTGGAAACAACTCTCCAACTTGGTGCTTCTCCCGCTGACTGTGACAGTGTGCCCATCTCCAAAGAGCCTCCGTGTTTTAGCTACTCAATTAAGAATTTTTGATAAAGCCACAGGATATTCTATAGAAAAGCAACTCCTACACGCATCTATGTATTTTTTATAACAACGGCAATAAGGCCTAACAAACTGTTGGTATTTCCTCACCCTGTTACATAAGTGTTGCCCATGGTATCTACTTCTTGGTAGCCTGCAAAACAACTTGCAGCCGGTGAGTCACGAGCCGGCGCCGCACGGAAATTCACATACTTTCCATGAGCACTTCAGGCCGTGCCCACTTCAAAGAGCAGCAGCATCACAGCTCTACTACATTTTGCAGGAAATAACACACCAGGGCCACTAAATGTTATTCATACAACTAGCATTATAATCAGTAAGAGTTGCATAGCTAGTGTGTAACCAGAATTAGGCTAGAGCTAACTTTTCCTTTCTGTTCCTTCAGATTTAAAGGGGGACCAATAATCCAACATTGGCCACGGGGCTACCCGTGCTCCGGGGAGCACAAGGCCGGTCAGTGGACATTCCCGCACGGATCATACGGAGCTCCAGGGAGCAGCAGCCAAGAGGCCACAACGTAAAGCACAGTAACAGCTGGAAGCGCCCGGGGCGCCCGCGTAGCTCCACGTGTCACTGCCACAGCAGGCCTGGGGCACCCCTCCAGGCACAGGGATCTCCCCCAAAACTCATTTTTTGTGAAAGAACTGGGTAATTAGGAGACACAAATGACTATTACACTTGAGATACCTGGGAGGGGCGTCGCGCAGCCGCCGGGTTGTTCTCCTCAGCTGGCCACGCAAACGGATGTGGTCCTCAACGTCGCCTGTGCGGCTGGAGGTCCCCGCAGCTACTTTTGGCTGCGGCACTTAATACTGACAGAAGAAAAAAGCTAACTTGCTCTAGAAGCTGGTACTGGATGCTGCCTGAAAACATAATAGCCCTCGTGACTGAAATCACTGTCACGGTCCAAATTAAATCTCTCTCATTTTATAAGATCTGTCTCTCCACAGCGGCATCCATGTCCCGCTGCCGTGCGGGGCTGCGAGTTCCTGATGCAAAGTTTCCTTCCCAGCATCACACAACCCCAGACACGCACCCGAGTGCTGGAAATCAGGCAGCTCCCCATTCAACAGAATCCTCACCGGAACGTGACACGTTTGGTAAACTGGGGAAACGGGAAGTATTTATCAAGCAATTCCATAATATTTAATTAAGATTTAACAATCACCCGACTGCATGGGGCAGTGTTCTTGCAAGCTCGCACAGGCCCTCGGCAGATTGCTTCCTCTAGGGAGGTTGGCTCCGTGTCGATGGGAGATTTTGGGACATGGGAACACCGGAGGGACTTTGTCCCGTGCCCCTGCACAGAGGCTCTCACTGGGTTTTAGGGCTCTAAAGCTTGCTGCTTTATTGGACTAGCTTCACAACAGCCACTTCTGAATATTAGTTGCCTCCATGTCACTACAAATAACTGAAATCAGGAGAGATCCTCACTTTTTTAAAGTGAAATATAATGGTATGACCTAGAAAACTCCTTGCTTCAGCTATCAGGCAAAAAGATTATACCTGAAATATCTGAACTAACACAGAGCAAGGAAGAGAAAATATCAAATCAAGTGAAACATGATTGTGAGGCTGCTTTTTGTTTTCATCTGAAATCAGGCCTTGCAGACAAAGCCCTTCCCATGGAAGCTGCTGGATGGGCACCATCCTCACTGTCGGGTCTGATGAAAATTACAGCTTCAATCACATCACTCCTAACCCATACGTGTAATTGCAAAATGCTCAAGTACGAGTTGCTCACACAAGACCGACAGACAAAAAGCTGCTTGCCATGGCTAGCAAGGCACCAATGCCCAAGTTTCATGCCACCAAAGGTGGCAAGGAAAGCCAGAAATGCTCCAGGAACTGCCAAGAGGGAAGACTCCAAGCACTCTGTAAGGCTTCAAACCAGATCTGTGGCACAAAACTAGGGGTTGCAGCATTCTCAGAGAAACCAAAAGTGTTTCAAAGTGCCATGAACTGTTCAAAAAGAAACCCTAGGTAACTGTCATGAACATTTTAGCAGTTTATTAATCTGTTCATCACCTCTGACTGCATCTATATTATCAGCTTAGCTTGGAGTGTGCATTTGAAGCAAATCTCTCCATTTTCGCAGCTTGCAATGCTATGATTCACACTGCCAAGCAGTCTCCAAGAGAACAAACTGGATTCCCTCTTGGATAAAATTAGCCTGGAAGATGCACTTCAGAAGCACATACCAGATGCTAACAGGCATTCAATACACAGGGCCAGATTAGACCAGTCCAAGGTAAAGGGTCCTGAAGCGAAAGGGACGGGGACACTGGGTCCTCAGTGCCAGCAGCCCCCAGGCAGCAGCATCAGCGCCGGCTCAGCCTCAAAGCTCCCAGGTAGGTGCTGCAGCAGGCAGATCTATTTCTAATTAAATAAGTGACTATCAAAAATCAGCTCATGACAATTCAGGTAGGAGAGCTCCCCAGCAGCCAGGTAAGTGCTACCACAGCATGTTGCCCAAATCCAATTTCTACACCTCATTTAAAGTGGGGAGAATAGTTGAGGTGGACTAACAAACGCTACCTGATACCATGTGCCTAAGAGCTTGGGGTTTATGGTATTGGCTTCCCAACGTGGCAGCCTGTAGCTGGGAGCTGTCTGCTGCAGCCAAGCACACGACTGACACTGCCAAAGCCAGCGAGCAGAACGGGGCTGAGCTGCACGGAGGGGCATCCCAGCTGCTGCTGGCAAACGAACATCCGCCCAGGGAGAGCTGCATTACAGCCTGTGAACACGCAGGAACTTGGCAATATTAACAGGTATTATTAACAGGTATTCTAAAGAACTGCCCATCAAGAATTCCCACGGCGTTTCCTTTAAAGCAGGAGGCAACTTCTGTCACCTCAAAGCCCTCGCACTAGGTGGAACTGCAAAACCTGGGAGCGCCCTTCCCAGCAGAGCCAGCACCTCTAGGAAAACGCAGTGAAGAAGGGCACACACGTGTGTGCAAATCCCCCACGGACACGCTGCTGCCCGGGCCAGCGCCACCCGTGCCAGCCGCAGCAGGTCTGCTCTGACGCTCAAGGAAAGAATGACACAATCGTCCTCCTCATCATCACCCACCTCGATTAAATTTACTTGATCTTACAAAAGTAGCCCTACGTATAATTGAAATCAAGGCAATTTTGCTGCAGTTTTTTATAGCATAGTTTACTACTAGGGTTTCTACTACAAGGCAGAGAAAGAAGCTGATGAAACTTGCAGTAAGTTTAAATACATTTAAACATGTGTCTTACCACAATCATTTCTGAAGGCTCCAGTATGATACATTCGCATCCCCGTTTCCCTCCAGACTGCTTGCCAAAACTAGAGTGGGATAGAAGAAAAAACAACACACAAAAGGAATGAGACGAACAATCTATTTCACTTTTTCAGCAATAAAAATAATTGACAATAGTGCATATTACAATATCTACACACTCCTCCAAAAAAAAAGGGACTAATGAAAATTATTGTGTTAAAAACTAACAATACAGTACCATTATGATTTTCAATTTATTCTGCACTTCTTATCACAGCTTATTACAGAAAGCCTAAACATAAAGGCTTTTCTTCTGCAAGATCCTTATTATTTGTAGATATTCAAAAACATTCACAATGGCTTTCACTGTTGACAAGAGCACATTAGTAAGTGTTAATTAGGCATTACACAGGCTTGGTAAAAACAAATAGACTGAAACTTCAGGAACTTGAATTGCTGCTTTGTACAGGGCATTTTCATCACAATTCCCTAGAAGTTATCCTTCAACTTGTGACTTGTACTGTTTAAAAACATGAAAGAAAAATCCCTAAAGATGTATTACAAAGGGCAACAAAACCAGAGGGAGAGAGGCTAAGTTGATCAAATGCACTTCAGCTGAATCCCTTCAAAAAGTTCCTACCTTCACACCACTTAAAACACCTATGGGCGCTCACACTAAGCAGGTGTAAACTTCCAAGTCATCTTTTGTGCTTTTTCCATGCACACAACTCGGGCATCATAGGTTTCAGTATTCAGAATAGATTTAAAAACAGCAACAAAATCCCTTGGTTGCTGTAAATATTTAAAGAGATTTATTTTTACAGGGTCTTAAATTTGACATAATTATATATTCTACCAGTTTCTAACCCTTTGAAGGCCAGAAAAGTCAGTACTGTAAACTTGATTGCCTTTTTAATTTTATAATTTTATTGTGTGTGCGCCCGTCACTTAATATCCATCTCTTGCCTCTGCATCATTAATTTGCAGTCGCTTGGTCACGGGCTTGCAAGACTGAAAGGGGAAAAAAGCCTCCCATGTATCCACGGCAGCTTTGTTTTCCCCTTGATTTACGTATTCCTCGTTTGCAAGAAGCCTCATTTTCCTGATTCACTGCTATTTGTAATTAAAAATGCTTAAGCAAACACATCATATGAGAAAGGAATGCAAGTTAAGGCAGCGTTGTATCATGCAGCAGCCACTAACGGGCCTTGAGGCCTGGGATGAGCTGGCAGCTCCTGGCCGCACTGTGTGTTAAGGCAGATCTAACCGTTCAGGTAGTGGTTAAACAGCTGATTAATGCAGATAGAACCGGAGCCCCAGAACGTTAAACCTGCCAGCAGCTCCACAAAGGCTCGACTCAACCGAGGCAGCTTCATTGCCCAAAATTACTCCCTGGAGGGGAACTGCAGGTCCCATCTCCTGCCCGCTTCCCAAGGGCTGGCATCCAGCAGCCCCAGCTTTCACAGGAAAAAGCTTTACTGAGGCACAGGAACTGGTACAGCAAGCCTTGCACTTACCAACGAGGCTGCCTTCAAAATCCTCCAAAATAACAGATTTTGAACATAACTTACTTCATTAACAGAGAGTATACATAAACATTTACAATTTTTTATATGCAAATATTCAAAAATTCTTAATATTTAGCTGTTAAACTATTTAGGTATTTGATCCTAAAACATCTGGAATTTCAAGAATTACGAGTTGAAAGAACAGCAGCCCTATTAACACCAAAATGTGTTAACACCAGTGTGTTGAAGTTCTTCGTTACTATTTTTCATACAAAATTCTCAAAACATAATAGATACTTCAAATTGGCATCAGCGTTGCCAATACCTTAACAACTACAGCAGACTGTGTTGTATGAGAGGCAGGACTCGGGTAGGACAGGGACATCCCAGCACAGCAGTGTAACAAGGAGAAGCCTTGTGATTTTCTACAACTATTTTGTTTTTCTGCATATACTTTTGCCTCTCAAGCAGCGTGTTTATCTGTCAAGTGGTTTTCAAAATATCAGATGTGAACAAACCGTACTGTTTGGTGTTGCAGGGAGAACCCAGCGACCCCAAACATTCAATCACCTGCGCCAGGAACCTGGCTGGATCTCAAACGCAAACGCGTTTCTCACACAAGTGAGAACCCTTTGCCCTGGCAGATGCGGGTTGCATACGAAATGCAAGAGCTCTTCGCTGTTCATTTCTTAAATAAGTGTTTCCACACACAGCCCCAAGCCAGAGCTCAACCTTCATTTGGCCAACGTTTCGTTTTTGTCCTCCCCAAAGAGCACCCTTAGGCGGGACAGCCATCCCCATACACAAACAGGCCATCGACTGCAACGGCACCATCCTCAGACCCAAGAGGACCCCTCCAATGCTAAATTTACAGCAACCACTTAGAAAGTTTTAAGAGAAACAGCTGCTCAGGTGGAACTATGCATTGAATCATCATCTCATCTAATGGCAGGTAGAAAATCTATCTGGTATTGATAAGCATATGGGCATAACCTTAAGCAATGTTTCTGAAAGTAGAAAAAAATAATTCTAGGACAGTTAGTTGCAAAGAACTTTCAAGTGTGCAAACACATATTGATGCCATTTCTTTCCCAAAACCTTTGGGTTTGGGAACAAAAACTTAAGAGATTTAAATGACAACTGTTTCAGCAAGCATCACAATTTGGAACCTTAGTGGCAGCTCTGGATCTGTCAAAAATTAAGCGCAGCATATGCCAGCAGTGAGCAAGGCATGCATATTTATCTAACCTTGGAGCCCGATGCAGAAATGAATATATTCCCTGCAACAGCTATGGGGGACTCTCACACAGCAGAGACTGCGATCAAGATGTGAAAGAAAAATAGTTCGAGGCAGCTCGAGGCCAGAGCTCAGATACAGGAGGCACAATCCAAACAGAAAGCTGCATTTATGAAAGTTAAATTGGAAGAGAGGATCAGTGGCAGGAGATGTCAGTGCAGCTTTCATCCGCCGGGGCTGGGAATGGAGCAGCTCGCAGCCTCCCGCTTACTTCTTCACTGAACTGCACCGATTCAGGAGAGTTTTTAGAAAAAGTAATACAGAAGTCAAACTGAATATATACTCTAAAACCAGATCGCGGTATAAATATATTTGAAAATATAATTGGATACATAGAGATTTTAAGATTTCTGTAATATAGGGAATTTAAGTTGTACAAACTGCAAGTCTTTAATCCTGTGTTTTTAAATACCTACACTGATATGTATGGATTTCATAAGAATTTACAGAATTTTCTGCACTTCCCATACACAGAATAGACTAAAATGCTACCTGTCACAGTGAACTACAAAATATGTTAAAAGACTGTTCCCAACAAACATTAATATAATAAAAAACCTAAAAGGGAGGCCACAGCACAGGGAGCTGGATCCCTCATCGTTACCTGCTCACAGCTTGAGGCCTCCTTACCCGCTGATCCACTCCTCCGTGCCGCTAAAAGTCACGGCCTGCTTTTTATTTCCTCTTATTCCTGCCAGACATCCTCCAACAAGCTGCTTCCAAAGCAAAAATCTGTTTGACTTAACAGGTTTCTGGCCAAAAAATTGGTTTTAGCCAACAAATGCACTAATGGAGCAGAAGGGAAAGTAATTCCCGTTTTCTCCACACTTGCAGGATTTGGGAAGGGCTGCTCATGGGTTTTGTGGAGGGGACAGGAAGAGGGAAGCACTTGTTTTCAATAAAATGACATCTTGAATGTTTCAAGACTTGGTGTTTTTCCTGTCAAGGTTCAATTCTCACATCTGTAGGAGGCTGTCACCCACATAATTGGCTTCAAAAGTTTCTCCTGGCCCTTGATATATTTCCTAGGGTTAATCTTGCTGTGAGTAATCTCCTTCAAATATCCTGTTCACATGAATTATCTTGATTAACAAGCAAGGTTAACACAAAAAACCCTCCAACTTCCTGAAATGCTCTTCTCTACATAAAATCCTTCATTCCTGTTCTTTTGTTATGGTCATTGCTTTCACATTAGAAGTGTCTTCCTTTCCTACTGCACCCAACTTATTCCTAAACCCAGACAACAGGGCAATCTTGGTTGCATCATCTTCATACCAGACGTTACTGACTCATCTGCTGCTCACCTTAAAAATAATAATAAATAAGCTTAATCCTATAGGGCTTTCCTCACCACTATCAAAATATTGGCTAGAAAAGACTCAACATTATTCTCTCTTGCTCCCTGGATTTTTTAAGCTGATTTTTGAATTGCAGCTTGCTTACGACTTCATTTAAGTTCGATAGAAAACCCTCTCAAGCACAAACAGTTCTAAGTTAAGCCCCAGCTCATTCAAGTACCTGTAAGGAAGTAATGAAGCAATGACCACCCACATTCTAATGCCTCAGACACATAACAGCCTAATGAAGAACATGCCAGGATTTATTTCAAGCTGGAATCCACTTGCTAACTATGATCTGTCCCTGTTTAGCCAGTTCTTCCAGCAGGAGTTGCTTCAAGTTTGGCTGTTGACCATTTCAAGGCACTAGGCTACGTCCAGATTAAAGCCCAAACTCTCCCCCTTGGTCCCTGCAGGATGAGGATTCCTGCTTGGTTCTCACCCACCTTCCTCCTGGGATGACTCGGAGCCGTGGCCAGGCTCCTCGCTCGCCCAGGGCAGCCTCGGCCTGTGTCCAAGCGCTCTCCTTGCCTGGTGTTGCACCACACTCCAACAAAGCAGGCAACGATGCTGCAGCACAGGCCAGGGTCGGGGCAGAGGGCAAATGAGCAGCTGCCACAGGGGCAGCTGACCAGAAACATCCCCATCTCCCTCAGCAAGCTTGGAGTATCTTCAGTATGGCTTTAGTCCCTACATCTATCCGCCCCTTTCCTCTATGGGCTTAAAGAAAAGGCACAGGTAGATCAGTGCTCTGAACGCAGTAGCCTTCAATAACGTTGAGATTACACTAATAACAAACAAGTACGACATGTTCATCGGGCGTACAGAGCACGGCATCGAGCTCTGCATCACTCAGAGGAGCTCTCTGAAGGGACAAGTGTCCTTCATATCCTATTTTAAATCCATAAAATCTACCCTCCCTGCCAATTACAGGGACTTAAACTGTTTAAAGTGATCCTAAATCATGAAAGCATAACAAAATCCTAACATAAGAGGCTCTGTAATAAATAATTACTTTTTAAAAAGCAATAATTTCCTGTAATTATCTTCCTTGCTATCAACTTCTTACACCCTGTCTTTAAAGTTTCTATTCAAAGTTGTATTTCAAAGATGATTTACACTTAACATTATAGTGTAGGTCATTTTCACTGCTACAGCTTAAACTAAAGAAAAAAAATAAAAATAAAAGCATGTTTTGGTGTAAAATTCTGTCAAGAGCAGAAAGCTGTATAATATTTGAGGCAACAAAAATGAAGGCAATACTGTGTTTTCATACAGATGCTGACTTAAGCCTCCTTTGAGAATGACTCATGTAATCAGAAACTTGGTTAGGGATAAGCGATAATGCAGAACATTAAGTATTACTTTAGATGTAATTAAAATGCTGCTAATTATAATTTTGAAGAAACACTACTATGTCATCCAGGGTACCATTTCATACAAAAACTGCCTGTAAAGGACTTGTGACCGCAGCTCCCTCAGCTGCACAAGCGTGACATGAAGTACTTGGACCAGAAAGTCACCGGGAGCATCACGCAATTACAGAACACTAAAATTCACACAGTGTTTTATTTTAAATTATAACTTGAGGTTCAAGAACACAAGTAGCATGAAGCTGAAAGACAGCTCTGTTCTTCAGTGCCCTGTTTGCTACTCCAGGCAGCCCCTCTCCCTCTTGGCACGCGGGCACGATGGGGAAGAGAATGCGAGAGGGAGCAGCACGGGTGCCCAATGGAAGTTAGGGGGAAAACCAGAAAGGTTCAGACAGATTCAAGTATCCTTTTGCACACCTTAAATTTAACTACCAACAAGTTCAATTTACCTAATTGCAGGGGCGTGCATTTCTCTTCTCAATGTCCAGCGTATCACAAGTCCTCTCATATTTGAGGTTTTTTCTCTCCCTTTCCCAATCCACTCTAAGAACATGGTTGGAGAAGAATTTGGGTATCCAGAAGAGTGTGTGGTTATTTCCTTCTCCTGGGCTCTTAGTACATAAGCGAGGGAGCCACCCCAGTTCTCATTTAACAGAACTTTGGGATCCTTATTATCATCTAACAGCTATTTTTGCTCATTATCCACTGTAGAGCCAGGTGCAATCTCATAAACTAGCAACAACAGATCGGCTTCACCCACACACTTCTCTTTTTTTTTTTCTTTAAATTAACCTTAATAATGCAGGTAAATTCCACACTTTTCAAGCTTAGCTAAACAATAATTTTAACTAAGCTTTATACAAAATGAACTTGCCACATCCTCACTTCTGGGACTGCTGAATTCCAGTCTCTCTAGGAGGGTCAGGAGTGTAATATCCAGCCCATGCCTAATCAACTACTGAGCTGAAATATTCAGTCCTATGTTTTCTAAGTGGTGCTTAACATGAAATTCAAGTATATGGATGTATATATTTGAGCCACAGTAACCTTTTTTAACCTCATCAAATTATTGTTGATCCGCAGCAAGCAAAGCGCTGACGAGCTAATCCACGTTTCGTAAGGAACTGGTACACTTGCACTGCTGAGGAAGGACACGTACCCGCGTTGGGCATCTCTCCGTTGTTTATTCATCTCATTGTCCTGCTTGACAGGCCTGAGGGAAGAGCTCTCATTGTAGAGCCCGGCAGGAAGCGAGCAGGGAAACAACCCTGGGAGCACCGAGGGCAGCGTCGCCACAGCCAGGTTACTCATCAGAGGGGGAGGCTGTCCGGGAGCAAGCACGTCCTGCGGGAAGTCTGCCTTCCACGTCTGCTCCTTGCAGAGGAAGCACCTCCCTTATTATCTCACCAAAATCCACCCAAACAGGGTACCCAGACAAGAGACCATCCATCGAGGTTAGACCCTGCCGGCGTTTCCAAAACTGAGATTCCAATAGACACAGAAGTGACTCACTAAAAGCAGAGCATCCCACACAGTTAAGTGCCTGGGATTTTCCTGCTTGTTTGTTTTAAACTCCAAAGCTGAGAAGTGCAAGCTGAAAACAAATACACTCTGTGCAGCTCCAAAGTACTGCGGTGGCGATTCTGGATGAGGGACAAGGTCAAGCACAGCACTGCAGTGCAGCAAGGCCCAACTCACATCCAACATCATTCTTCAATTAAAGCACGTCAATGTTCACCACTTTTCAACAATGAAATGCAAAATCATACACACTGCAACCAATACCACTGGTACAGTCCTCTTGCTTTCCTTAAAAAAAAATTAAATACATATATATATATAATATATATATGTACATATATTTATATATAAATATATGCCATTAAACATAGACTCAAGTCAAACTGCATAAAGGTGTACCATCTAAAAATCCTTTACATACCTGCAAGGTGGCAAAAACATGGAATCCTTCATCAGCACAGATCCCGAAAGCAGTATGTACCAGCATCTTGCTATAGTTTCTGAGCTGTAAGATAGGGAGCCAGAAGTCTTAGAAATAGACTTTTTAAAACAACTCAAAAATATATTATCCAAACACTAGCCATGATCGACCAGGCTGCCAACTCTACTTGTGCACTGTAAACCTAAGAACTTTAATAGAACATTACCAAGAATTAACATTTTTCAACATCTATATCCAGATGACAATGGCATTTAAGCCAAATTTAAGACAATTAACAAAATAAAATTACTCATTTTCAATGAGAAGTTTTCTTTTCGAAGAAAGCATATAACACTAAAAACATATAAGTGCTTTTATTACACACGCAAGTTGATTATCACTTCAACACTCACAGTAACATGACACAGCTGTCAAGACTTAAGCCTGAAATACAAGATTCATATGTTTGCTGCGCTGCACTCGCATCTCATGCGGATGCAGAGTTGTCTCATGTGACAAGTGATCCTGGATGTGTCTCTCATGTGACAAGTGATCCTGGATGGCTGGGGAAGGGACCTGACACCCATTTGAGCTAATGTCATAGAGCTGTAGACTCAACATCTGCAGAGCTAAAGACCAGGACGAAGCTACCGTGTTTTACCACAGCTGCTTGTCCCTCTGTTTAGGGGCTGCACACTATAAGCAATGCTAAAATACGAGGAAAAAAAGGTATATTTGTACCTCAGCAGGAAATTGGGGAGTCCTCAAAACTAAAATACTGGTTCGGGCAGTCTGAGACCAACCTGGGCTCTGCTCCTCTCCCTTGAAGGGCAGCCCTACCCGTGATTCAACCTCTGGCCACACAGCCAGCGCCAAGTCCAGGGGAAGAGTGCCACCTACTGAGTCACCCAGGCCATTCCCACCCGCTTGCAGAGGTGCCACCAGGTGCTCTCGGGCCAACTTCTAGTGTTCTGAAGTGCTACAAATATTGAAAGACCGAGACACGCATTGCTGGCATGCAGAGTAGTGCTGCTGTTTGCAGTTCCACCGTGCATACTCACCAGAAGAGAACCTGGTTGCCCTTGTACCGTTCGTAGCGGGCACTCGATGACATTATCCTGAGGGAGGAGGAGGAGAAAAATAACTTCAGTGTGAATCCCCATAGATTGTAAGCCGTTAATAACCACATTTCAGCAGAATCACTTTAAGGTTTTAAGACCTTAAATGCAGCTATTTTTTGATTTAAGTAAAGAACATGCTTAACTATAAAATTTAAATTATTACAGCATTCTTCATTATCCAGATAGATAATATACAGCATGTTCTCCAAGTCTTTAAATCACTCCCACACATTGGAATTACCCATAGCAACAGAACTGAAGGAATTAAAATACTTCTAATGCTCTTTTTGTGCTCTGCTGGCCTTTATGTATTCTGAGATCATCTGAATGTCTTAATTATTAAAAAGCTTTGGCAGTGCCTTTGCAGTGATAACGTGGCTCAGCAGCTGGCCTTGGTTAACACTTTGCCACCTCAAAATGTGGGCAAGGAACAGCTTTGCTCATCTGCACAAGACGACATTCATGTTTACTGATTACACTACGCCACAGTAACGGGGTTCATCCTGCTTTACCTTAATTGATGTTCCCTGAAATGCGAGAGGATGTCCAGTCCATGAAGGAAGGAATAGATAGTACTTAAGTCCTTTAAAAAAAAAAAAAGGAGAAAAAAAAGAGACATGAGCAACATCATTCATGGCACCCGATCGCTTTGTGGTACCTCCTCCAATTCTGCAATATAGTTCTACAGACTTAAAAAAATATAACTTGGCACAAAAAATTAGGCACAGATGCAGATTGAAGAACCCTGTCCACAGTTACCTTGACAAAATGCTAACATGGACCTCCAAATGATGCATAAGCACTTACCCGGACAAGATTTTGGAGTATATTATTATTATTGCATATGTCTGAATAGATTATTCACAAGCATGGACCACAGCAAGTGTCATGTGGAATACACCAGATGAGATGGTTCCATTTATTCAGCATCAAAATAATAACAAAAAAATAAAAAAATGCTGAATTACTAAGCCTCTCAGAGGAAGAGGGTAAGGAATTTTGCAGAATCCATTCGCTAGCAGTAGGAACCCCTGAGAAACCCCAGCCCAGGCAGCCCAGGCACTATCCGTTGCGCAGGGGCCTACAGTCCTTGCATAGGGAATGTTGTGTGCGGAGCAAGCTACCTCCCGCCTGCGGGATCGGCAGCCCTGGAGCGCCCCCGCTCCGCACATTCCTCGCGGGCTCCGAGGCCCTGGCTGGGAGCACGGGAGGGACCGGAACCCTTCGGGACGGGGCAGCCTCGGAGCTGCGCCAGGCCCAGCCCTCGGCAGCGACGCAGTCTCAAGCAGAGCTTTTTTCTATAAAGCGACAGTATTGAAACACGCAGGTTGTTTCCCTGTAGAGGTTGGACTCTGTACAGAAGAGGCCCTTAGAGGACACAACTGTCTGAACTTCTCCCCGTGCAGCACCCTCTCGCCAGCGGAGGCCACGTGCCGAAAACACTCAGGAGGGCGACTGCTCGTTGCGTTGGGTAGCCCAGGCAGGCAGGCTGCTAGCCCCAAACACTGGCCAAAGCACCACGCACCACACAGCCCTTCTGGGCACTGGGAAACATGCTCTGCACTTGGCAGAGCTGCGCTTATGTCGTATTTAGAAAGGAGAAAGCAGCATGAATGCTCGCCTCAGAATTCACAGCGGAAACGTTCCTTGGCTTAATAGTCAGTGTTTAGAAATATAATGACAAGAGACTCTTATACCAAACGAAAGGTCGTATATCACTGCAGGACATCAAAATCAATAAAGCTCAGATTTTTGTTTAAATGTCATTACCAAAACCCATAGAAATTATACAGAAGTGCAGACGCTCTCAACTGCTGTTGACGCTGGACTACTAGGGAGCCAGGCTGATATTAGTATCAGATGTTACAATTAAACAAGAAAAGCTAATCTTTTTTTCCACTCTTCATTACTCTTTGTGTCCATACACTGTTTCCCAAGTTTGACTTCTTTCTAAATGCTGCTGACACTAAAATATAACAGAAGATGCCTCTGAAATATGTTTTATACTAACAGTCTTGCTGGCATCAGTTATGGAAAGTTTTAGCCTGATTCAAAGCTTAGATTTACAGCAGAGTTTAAGTGATACATATGAGAAGTTACCACGTCCTTTCTTGAGAGCTCTCCTGGATGCTACAGAGCTAGGGCCTCCAAGCAGCTTAAATCAGCACCTTCTCTGGGGCACGAGGAAGGATTTTATATCCTTCTATGCAGATGCGTGGGGAAAGCTTCTCCTTCCCCTTGCACATCCACATCACGATCTGGTGAGTGAGGTTTATGTGCACCTTGTCTGGCCTAATCTTTTCCTGATAAAATGAAATAACCCTCCAGTCAAGTCTTACCAACTTTCTTCAGTTACTGCCATATTATTTAAGACTAGATACTTACAGCATCACTCAAATTGTGTTTGAGACCCTGACCTTAAAGGGTCATTTGATATTCCTGCAAGTGAGGAACATACTTCTAATTACACTTTTATTCTAGGCACTGAACTACACATTAATTACAGGTTATGTGGCCACCTAGTGGGAACAAACCGACCGTCTGGCCGCAGACTAAAGAAAGCTTAATTCAGATATGAAAATATTCCCTTCTTCTATTCAACCGTCATAAAAGTGAAAATAGGATTAGAAGCCGTTGTTTTTAAAAAATGCACTTTGTACCGTGGAGCATCAGTTATGCAAACCAGGTATCACACAGCCATGGGGCAAAGGGCAGAGATTATTTCCCTGAGATGCCCATTAGGGAACAGGACTTTATGTACATGGGCGTAGCAAAGGGCGACAATAAATGTCACCATGGTGGAACTCAAAGTACGGGCTGAAGAGTGAAGTCTTCCTTATCCTTCCCTATAATCTCTTTGAACAATCGAATCTCTTCACAACTGAAACAATTATTGATGAAAAATTTATCTGTGTGCACAAAGTCAGGGAAGAAGGTTAAAATTCTTTTATTTTGCAATTAATTTGTTGAGTTTTTAGCCACTCCAGCTAAGGCACCATGTCCGATAACCTTATATATCTTTTATATGCTTTACATCCTTTAAAAGCTATGTCCACACATAATCCTCAGCCTGCATCAGAAAACTACCTGTGCAAGTTATTAATGGATATATTGGCTCACGCCTTCACGTGAAGCGTCTAAAACAGGAGCACCGCAATCCAGGCTTCGCTGTTGATGGTGCCTTGATATCCCCGGTCTGTGCTATGACACCCCGACGTAAAACACGGCCTAGTCCAAGATGCCAACAGTCTTTCAACTGGAATTCAACAGCAGCTTCTATTACCTTACACACGCCCCTCACAGAAAAGCCTCATCAGCTGCTCACCCAGGGACAGGGAAAAACACCAAGATTTTGGGAATACAGTTAAGATTGACCAGCTTTATTTTATGACAGCTTCCTCCTCCCACAGTGCTAGGGAGCAGCCCCTGAACCAAGCGCTTATCACTGGCCGCGTCTGTGCGCCGATACCACGGGGTTCGGCAGCTGGAGAATAAAGGAAATCAGAGCATCACCAAAGGCAGGACTGGGAAACCCACCCCACGAGAACAAAGCGGCTTGCGACAGTCACCTGGAGTGAAACGCTCCATTTACCCTAAAACACTCCATCCAAAAATGATTCGCTACTTCTAGGTTTTTTTAAAGGATGGTGAAAACAAGTAAATTGCCTAGGTGCCAAGCTATAGCTTTAGGGAATGGCCAAAGTCATCAAAAGAATAAATATAATAATAATAATAAAAAAAAAACACTAAACCTGAGAACCGCTGGGGAAGGGGTGATCTACGAGCCATCCTCATGTAAACCTCCCCAATTTCACCTTTGACTGAGAGAGCATCTTTATGAAGTCTGGAATTAAGACTCTAATGGAAAGGTCTGGAGAGGTCTGGATTATTTAGATCTGGACATAAAATCTTCCAAGCAGGAAGGGTGAAAAAAAAAAAAAAAAAAAAAAAAGAGAGAGAAGAAAGTCCAGCCAGCACAACTGTAAATCACATGAGTCATATTCATATGCTATAGGTTAGCAATGTTTCCAAAACAAATTCACATGCGGTGGTAAAAGTGGGCAAGAGAAGTATGATACTTCGGAATGGGGGTGGAATTATTTCATTAGGAATAACTTTGCAGCCTATCAAAGTCCCGCATGCAATGAAGTCCTGCTGCTCTAACTTGAAGAGTCCCCATGCAGGTGCTCCTGGACTGTTTTACTCAGAAATACAGCAGATTTCCTGCTCAGTATTTCAGAAGAGAGCGAATTGTTCCAAAAGGACCTCATAGGTGCAAGGGCTGATGAATCTTGAAGAGAGTTATCCTAA